CATGTCCACTGACACCATCCCAGCTGTAGTGACCCGCCACGCTCCCCTCTGCTATGACTGCGACTGTCTCACGGGCTTTCTTGCTGCTACCACCCGTGCCCTCCTGCCGTCCAGACTGGCATTTGTACAATGGAAATCCGATGTGAGGTCTTCTAGTTAACGATGATGAATCAGGTGTGCTTTCGTCCCTGAAACAGTGGCTTTCAGGTCCCACCGCCCTGGTCGTAAGGAAGAAGGAAGACGGAAATCCACAAGGACCGAGGAAATGATACCTGGGCCAATCAAGGATTTCAGCAACCTTTGGGAAGATGGAGGGGGGTTGAGGAAGTGTTATGGAGTTAGCTACCAGGGCAGAGGAAGGCAGACAAGAGGAAAGCAGATGTCAAAGAAGGGAATGACGGTCTAGACAGACTAGACTGGGCAGAGGTGACCTCTCTCCTCGCGCCACCTCTCCCACGCCCTTCCCCACTCCCCTGCACAGACAAGCAGACGCAGTGTTCCCATTTCCAAGCAGATGGTCCGAGAGTTCTTATCGGGAGATGAGGATGACAGATCAGAACGAAAACTGCCATCTACCAACCTGCGGAGGCTTTCCCACGAACAGCTGGCTTTTTGCCCAATCGCTACAAAGCCAAATCCATCAGCAAGCAAGCTTCACTTCTACCTCCAGAGCTTGCAGTCTGCTTTTTAACACGTTCCACTTAACGACTTTCACCAAGGATCACTTGGCAGATGAGGAGAACTCTTTGGTTCCGATCCTTCGGGAAGCAGCTAACAACTAGAGTTGGGCGTGCAAGAGCCAGGGGTGGGGGTGGTTGGGAAGAAGAAAGAGAAGAAGAGCCGGGAGCCACAGGAAGAGTCTTCAGGGGATGAAGCTGGAGGAGGAGGGAGAGTTGAGTGGGAAGAACTGACCATGACGCAGCTCGGAGTCAGTCTCAGCCAGTCTCACATTCAGAGCACAGGTTCCGCATGCGAGGCAGGCCCACGGGGAAGAGCCCGGCTCACCTACCCTCCACCCTACTCTGTAATTGGCGAGGGTGGCCCCGGGGGGAGTATGTTCTCGATTCAAGTGCTGCAGTTGATCCAAAAACCAGGAGTCCTGGTGGCAGAGCAGGTTCCGTGTGGGGCTGCCAACTGCAAGACCATCCACTGGAAACTCCTTGGAGAAAGAGAAGACTCAAAATGCACAGGGCGGTGCGCCCCTGTCCCAGGGACTCACTAAGAGTCAGCATCGACCCGTGGCAGGGCGGGTGGGTGAGCCCTCCGGAAAGTGTTGTACGTCGGAGCTTGTCAACTGACACCCGGCCTGGGGGCAAACTCTCTCTGGCTGTGTGCTCTAGGTGGCTCATGTCTATGGGTGTCACAACTTGCAGTATGAATTAGAAAGATGGAATGTTAAAGGAAAGATACAAATGAAGGTCGTAGGAAAAGAAAATCTTACATGTGCCCCTCTTAATAGTTTCTATCTGGTGATCTGTATTCTGGAAACAGTAAGGACAGAAGGCACTGGGAAAGGACCCATCAATAAACATTAAGAAATAGTTCTTGGAAATGAAATATTCTTGTAGAGTAGAAGGGTCGGAAATAAGGCTTAAAATATCAGCCAGAGAGTAAGACAAAAATACAAAGAAATCAGATAAAATTATTTTCCTTATTCTCACAGGTGTTGGGCACATGAGTCAGGAATTGTGCTGAACTTTACGGATAAGCAGCAGACAAAAGTGACCAAGCCTCTGCTCTGAAGAGTCTCCCAAGAAGATAAATACGTGTGTGTACGTGGGGCCAGGACCAACGATCATGGGTCAGTTCAGTAGGGCTAATAGCTGATTAACAGGAGTTTCCCAAAGCGAAGAAACAGATGAAGAATGCAGAAATTAGCACGTAATTAACAGATGAAAACCTCACAGAATCAGACACAAATCTCCAGAATGAATGGGCTGAGCTTCCACTTCTGTTCAAGGTGGAGTAACAGGAACGAATTTACCTTCCCATATGGAAAAATAAAACACCACCAGATAAGGGCTGTGAAACAATGGGGCTCAGACACTGGACATCGGGCAGCACCGGACAGTGGTTCCTGAATAGGAGAGACACATGATTCAGCTCTCTAATTGTCCTGGTGAGTTTCCAGGCTACATGAGAGGGAGGAGGTAATTCAAGCAGCACCTGGTGGTCTTCCTGAGTTGAGGAAGCAGAATTGGGAGACCAGGGAGGTCCAAGAGTTCACAGAGGAAAACACTGCATGGACAGAAAACCTCCTATCTACCAAAATAAAAATAAAATCCCCTTCGCGTTTTCCACTGAGTACCGATCGCTGGTCAGGCATGTGTGTGAGGGAGCTATCTGAAGTGAGGTCAAGGGCGAGCCTAAATCAGCAAAGGGAACAAGGAGCAGAGCTCACGCAAGGGGGCGAGAGAAGGGGAGAGGAAACCCAAGCACACACCGGTATCGGGAGAGCCTCAGAAGAATACTGCCACGCTGTTGTTACAGATGTCACCCAGCTGGTTCCGACTCATAGCGACCCTGTGTCCAACAGAACGAATCAGCACGCAGCCCTGTGCCAGCCTCCCAACTGTTCTCACGTTCAAGCCCGCCACTGCGTCGGGCACCGTGCCAAGGGACTTCCTCTCTTTGTGGGTCCTCTACCAAGCAATGATCCCCTTTTCCAGAGACTGCTCTCTCCTGACGACGTGTCCAAAGCATGTGAGGTGGAGTCTCGCCCGCCTTGCCTCTAAGGAGCTTTCTGGTGGTACTTTTCCACTGGCTTGTTTGTTCTTTTGGCAGTCTGCGGTACTTTGAAACTCTTTGCCAGCAACATAGTTCAAGGGCCTGGATTCCTCTTCAGGGTTTCTTCAATGGACAACTTGCACATGCGTACGAGGCCGTTGGACATCCCATGCCTTGGGTCAGGTGTGCATTAGTCTTCAAAGCAACCTCCTTGCGTTTCAACACTTTAAAGAGGCTGTGCGCACCAGATTGACCCAATGCCACGTGCCACTTGACCTCTTGACTGTTGCTTCCACGAGCGCTGATTGTGGATCCAAGCGAGAGGAAGTCCTTGACAAGCTTAATCTCTTCTTCATGTATCATGATGTTACCTGTTGATCTAGTTGGGAGGATTCTGGTCTTTACGTTGAGTGGTCATCATCCATACTGAAGGCTGCAGTCCTTGATCTTCATCAGCAAGTGCTTCAAAGTCCTCCTCACGTTCAGCAAGCAAGGTCATGTCACTGGCACATCGCAGGTTGTTACTAAGCTTTCCTCCACCGCGGTTACTGCATTCTTCTTCATACACTCCGGCTTCTCTGATAACTTGCTCAGCATAGAGACTGAATCAGTATGGTGAGAGGACACAACCCTGACACGTTTCCTGAGTTTCAGTTATGCAATACTTCCTTGTTCTGTTCCAACAACTGCCTCTTGATCCAGGCATGCACAGGCTCCACAGGAGCACAAGGCAGGGTGCTGGAATTCCCATTCCTCTGAAGGCTATCCGTAGTTTCTGATGGTCCACACAGTTGAATGCTTGTGCATTAATCAATCGAGCACGAGTGAACATCTTTCTGGCATGCTCTGCTTTCAGCCAAGACCCATCCGACATCCGCAATGACCTCTCCCTTGTTTCACAGCCTTCTCATCATCCAGCCGCAACCTCTGACAGCTCCCTGTCAATGTGCTGCCGCCACCTCTGTGGAATGGTCTTGGGCAAACATTTTACTTGCATGTGATATTAATGACATCATTGTATAGTTTGAGCACTCTGTTGGGTCACCTTTCTTTGGTATGGGTACAAATAGGGATCGCTTCCGGTCAGTTGGCCAAGTGGCTGCCTTCCATGTGTCCTGGCAGAGACGAGCGAGTGCTTCCAGTGCTTCTTCAGCTTCTTGCAGCTCTTCCATTGGTATTCCCTCAATTCCCAGACCATTGTTTGGGCGAGTGCTTCAGGGCAGCCTGAACTTCCTTCAGCATCATTGGCGCTTGCTCCTACACTACCTCTTGAAATAGTTGAATGTCGACTAGTTTGGTGGGTGTTTCCCCCTTTTGGTGCAGTGACTTTGCATTCTTTCTATCTTCTTTTGATGCATCCTGCATCCCTGCATATTTTCACCATAGAATCTCTCAATATTGACACTTGATGCTTGATTTCTTTTCCTTTCGTCCTTTCAGGTATGCTGAATGTGTTTTTCCATTTGGGTTTTCTAACTCTAGGTCTTAGCACATTTCATTATAATACTTTACTTTGTCTTCTCAAGCTGCCCTCTGAACTTTTCTTTTTCAATAGTTTTAGTGATCTCAATCAGTGTGAGTGCACCCACCGCCTCCCACATTCATTATTGCTCTCTAATTCCCCTCAACTCCCCATTCTCCCCGATATGTCATTCCATCAGCCACTGTCTTGAGGCACGTGCTCCTTCGGTGCTTAATAAACCGGAAAACATCCTTTGAAATGTTCTGTTCTGCCCTTTGACGTCATCATTTCTTCCATTTGCCTTAGCTGGCTCTATAATTAAGAGCAAGTTTCGTTTCTTCTGACGTCCGCTTTGATTTTTTCTTCTTTTCCTTTCTTTTTCATGACCTTTCACTTTCTTCATGGGTAATGTTCTTGGCCCCATAGCTTCTCAGGCCGTCTGCTAGTAGTGCTCAGTGCAGCTGGTCTATTCCTGAGATGTTCTCAGCATCCAGGTGGAAGAGACCGAGGAGAGTGTTTGCATTCTCGTGGACTTGTGTTCACTTTCCTCAACTTCAACCTGAACTTACCCTGAGTCCGTTCCACAGTCAGCCCCTGGCACAGCTTCAGCTGATCATACTGGACTTTTCCGTCATTTTTCCCCACAGAGGTGGTCAGTTTGGTTTCTGTGCATGCCATGTAGGGAAGCCTACCGCACAGCTGCTCTCAGGTTCTCACGAAGAACGCTGCTGTTGTCCTGTCCAGTCCTTGCGTGGCCAATAAGGAAACTCCGGCGCCTCCGTGGCCCTCTTTTTTCCAGGGGACCGGGCAGATGGGGGACATTCAGACAGAGCGTGCCTACCCAAAGCAGCTGACCATGTTCCAAAACAAGAAGAGGGTCCTCTTGGGGGAAACTGGCAAGGAGAAGCTCCCCCATTACTATAAGAACATTGGCCTGGGCTTCAAGAGGCCCAAGGAGCCCCCTGAGGGCACCTACATTGGCAAGAAATGCCCCTTCACCGGCACCGTCTCTATCCGAGGGCGGATTCTGTCTGGCGTGGTGACCAAGATGAAGATGCAAAGGGCCGTGGTCATCCGCCGAGACGACCTGCACTACATCCCCAAGGACAACCGCTTTGAGAAGCGCCACAAGAACATGTCTGTGCACCTGTCCCCCTGCTTCAGGGACATCCAGATCGGCGACATCGGCCCCGTGGGCGAGTGCC